GCGTCCCCCAACCTCGCGCGTCCTCGCTTACCGGGCCGCGCGCCCCCGGGCCCCCCCCGCCCCTCACTCGGCGGCCAGAGCTGCAGGCAGAGCCCCTCCCGCCGCCATCTTGCGCCGACTCCCTCCGCCCTCCGCCTCCGCTCCGCCTCCCGCCCCTCCGACTTTAAAGGCACAGGCGGGCACCCTGTCCGTGCTTCTGGGCAATACTCGGCCGACTCAGCCACTTCTCCTTTAAAGAACCGTCGCCTCATTCCACCTTAAAGATATCAGGTCCCCTCCTCCGGGGAGGGCTCAGGATCTGGTTCGGCCAAAGCATTCATTCCCCTTTAACTCGATAAGCCTGACTTTTCCCATTGGTGAAGGGTGCTGGCCGTCGTTCCCAAGACTCCGCCCCTGAGCTGTGGCCATTAGCTGGCTTTGGGGATCTAACCGCCTTCTTCCTAGCTTCTGACAGTCCTCCTGGTGCCCCGCCCCCTTCCTCCGGGCCTGGATTGGCCAAATAACCTTGAGTAGGCCTCTGATTGGCTTCTTTACTCCTACCGCTCCAAGCGAGAAAGCAAAATGTGTTAAGGAGGCTAAAGCCCATTTTTTTAAAAAGTGCCTGGCAGAGGGCACTAGGAATACCTAAGGGAGAGGAAACTCCAAGACAGGAGTGCAAGGGCCACATCAGAAAGGACAGATCAGAGCTGCCACGGGGGCTGGGCTAACCATGAGCCACGGGACAGGTGATGCCAATCTGTGACAGTAGAAGGACAAGGAAGACAGGAATACAATAAGAAAAGAACTTCATTGTTTATTATTTTTCTGTGTAAAACTTAAGCTTTTGTTTTTTTAAAAAGAAACACCACCAAAAGGGGATTAGCTCAATTCATCCCTTTCTCAGTCATCGGCTTCCCACCATCCTCCAAATGCTGTCCCGAACATTCTGGAGGTGAAGAGAGGGGAAAGCAGCTAATCAGAGTCTGAGAGCACGATGATCTCTTCTGGGTCGCACTGTGTGGCCACGCTCATCTGTAGGGAAGTAAGAGACAAAGAGTCAAAGAGAGCTGAAGTACAGGGGCAGGAGAAACAGAGGGAAGCATTTAGAGATTAAAAATTGGGTGGGGCCGGGTGCGGTGGCTCACACCTGTAATCCTAGCACTCTGGGAGGCCGAGGCAGGTGGATTGTTTGAGCTCAGGAGTTCTCGGAGACCAGCCTGAGCAAGAGTGAGACCCTGTCTCTACTAAAAAAAAATAGACGGAAATTATCTGGACAACTAAAAATATACAGAAAAAATTAGCCGGGCATGGTGGCACATAGCTACTCGGGAGGCTGAGGCAGGAGGATCGCTTGAGCCCAGGAGTTTGAGGTTGCTGTGAGCTAGGCCATGGCACTCTAGCCCGGGCAACGGAGTGAGACTCTGTCTCAAAAAAACAAACGAACAAACAAAAAAAAACATTGGGTGGGAAAAAGGAAAAAAAATTGGGTGGCTGGTGGAATATTCAGAACGACTGAAACAGAAAATGAAAGAAAATGAATTATCAGAGGAAAAACAGCCTCTTCCTCTTACCTTGTAAGTACTAGGCCTGGGAGGTCGTAATTGAGGGGTTTGGGACAGCCGGGCTGGAGAAGGGCTGCAGAGGGAGCTGGTCACTAGGCCATGGCTGGGAGAGTCCACCCTTGTGGAAGAATCAGCAACTGGGGCCATGGAAGCCAAGGGGGACGGTGGGCTGGGCAGGGTATGTATTTTCCTCCCATTCTTCTCATGCACTGCCATTTGCCTTTCCACATAGCTGGGAACAGAAACATGAATGCATGGAGGAGTACAGGAAGACTGAGGCTGGAGGGAGAGTGTCCAGCCTCTCCCAACAGACTCTATTCCCCAATATTCCTCTCAGAAAGCCCCCTGCAATCCTTCCTTGGCTTCCCTCTTCCTCCTCTTGTTGTTACCTGTTTCCTAATGGCCCTGATCCTTTTTGCTTCTTTTCCTTTCGGGGTTTCTTGCAGGGAGGGCTGGAATCTCCCCCGGTGTGAGGAGAGACACCTCCATTGAAAGAAGTGGAGGTGACAATGGCTGCCCCATTCTCTAAGACAGTGGTGAAGGGGTTCTCTGACTGTTTCCTGGAAGAGGAAATATCTGTCTCCTCGGGAGAAGGGGTGGTATCCAGGGGCAAGGCTTCAATCTCTAGCTCAAAGAGCTGAGATACAGGGCTCTCTTCCTCCAGGGGCAACTCCTCAGGCTGTTCTCCATTGCTTTCAGCATCTATGCTGAAGGGGGCCAGGGGCTCTTCCGACAGTAATGATGGTGACGTTATGAGTCCTTTGTTTTGCTGCTCCCCTGAAGACCTGCTGATCCCTTTGCCAGCTTCCAGGTTCTTTTCAGTGGAAATCTGTGGTGAGGACATGGGGCTCTTATCTCCATCCTTACCTGGAAAAGAAGAAAAGGGGAGGAGGTGGCATGAGAACTAGGGAGAAAAATACTGAGAGGACACTAGGAGTAAGAGGAGAAAGGGAAAGAGTCTCAAATAGGTGGCTCATACCTAACGAAGTAGAAATGACACATAAAAGAGAATGGTCCTTTGACATACCTGCTTCCTCCTCTGCCTCCTCCTCTTCATCATCCCCCTGACCTTCCTGCATCTGGTCCAGATCTTCCTCCTCTTCAGAATCTGTGGCTTCCTCCTCTTCCTCTTCCTCCTCCTCCTCTTCCTCATCACTTTCCTCATCATCTTCATCATCTGTCTCAGCCTTGGAGGTGGTGGGGCAGTCCTGGGATACCGTTCCACTAGGGCCCTGGGGTATAAAGACGTTTCTCTAAGGAATCTCTTGCCCCAGAGGATTCGGTTCTTACATACCTTCTGCACACTCCCCTATCAGTCACCCTGGGTTCCCTGGCAGCCAGTGCAGGGAAAGGATAAGGTCTCTCTAAAGGGTGTACCCCTTCCACCTTCCACACCTCACCAGAATCCAAGGAGGCTTTGGGGGAGTCTGCAGAGGGGGAAGAGGTGCCTTGGTCGAGCTGGGCTCTTTTCCTCTTTCTATCGCTCGCCTCACTTTTTTCTTGCATCACCGCATATTTGGAAATGACCTCGTCCAGCCGGCTCATGGCCAAATTCCGGTTTTCCCGAAGGCGCCGGGCCAGTGCGGCATCTGATAATGCGGGGTCAGTGCCTACACGGGAAGATATAGTCAGAGCACTCAGCCCAAACCCTAGAAGAAGGGAGTAGACAGACAGATTCCCCCTCCACCACATGCCCGACATATAAAGGTCACTGATGGGCATCCTGCTAACCCCCTTACCTGGCCTATAGTCATCTGTGAGGTGGCAGCCAAAGTTGTAGATGAGATCGAGGTGACGTCGTTCCTGTAACCTGATGCCCACATCTCGGAAGGCATCCTGAGCCATAAGCTGGAGCTGCTGTCGGGGTAGGCCGAGGCTGTGACGAGCAGCTGCCTTCTCTACGGCCCTCAGCACATCTCCATAGTCAGGGAAGGTATCAAGCCCTGGCTTGTTGATGAGCCGCTCAACGCGCCTGTTAACCTCTGGGTAGCGGGTACCACGGTAAGGGATGCGCTGCTCTATGACACGGCCAGTCAATGAAGAGCAGTCTTTCAGTTCACACAGACGCCCAAAGAGGCGGATCAGCTTACGCTTCAATCTCGCCTCCTGCAGATATGTGGAGTCCGGGTCATCCAATTCTGAGAGATCCAATTCCTTTTCCTGCAGCCTCCGGATCTCTGCCACATACAGTGCCAGGAGCTGCTCCAAGTGCTGGATCTGCCTCCGGGAACCACGGGTCCTTGAGGCCTCAGAGGCAGTGGTTTCAGCATTTGTGGGGTCCAAGGAGGAGTCTGTGGGAAGGTTATTCTCAGAGGGCTCATTGGAGGTGGTGGCAGCAGGGGCCAGATTCAGCTTCTTTTTGGCTGAGTGGGCCTTGAGAACAGTGCAGAGCTCATTGATGTAGACATAGAGTTTAGTGGGCCGGCTCCGGGCCAGAGACAGGACCCGAGAGAGGATGTTGCAGAACTCCGCCGAGGCCAAAAAGAGAGGGTGGGCACGCTGCTGCCGGTTATAGAGGAATGGGACCACCTCAGGGTGGTCCACGGTCTGTGTCTTACACAGTTCAAGGAACTGGAGGATTCAAGGGAAGAAAGGAGGGGGTTGAGAGAAAGAAGGGGAGGTGGGGTTAGTGGGGAAGAAAGGACAGGAGAGCCAGTCAGCCATCCCCCTCCCTGGGGTACCAGAATATTCTCCCCTAAAGCTCACCTCTTCAAATAGCTTCTCATTCTCCAATTTGTAGCATTTCTTGCCGCCCGAACTACTGCTTCCTCCAGCCCCATGGGGCTCAGAGGAGCCAGGGGCTTCAGCCCCAGGTGAGGCAGGATTGGGGGGTGGGTGGGAGGGCCCTGGCTGAGCAGCTGCTTCATCTTCTT